TGATGAACCTCGATAATTTCTAACCATGCCTTCTGCGACCATTGTATTTATTATAAGAAACGCTTATATATACGAGGTAGCCCATTTATCGCGTTTTAAGCTCAGGAGCAAATGCGCACTTTTGACGTTCCAGAAAGATTACTTTATTCTATTTCGCATGCAACAGGTACGTCAAACAATTACGAACGTTAAAATTCTTACTGAGTAGTCTAAAGTACACTCTGTAATAATTTATGAACGCAGCCAGCTTTAGAAAGTACATCGAATTTTGAGGTAGGGGAGACCGGGGCTGGTTGTCACATGGGTTGGTTGTCACAACTCCGCAAGATGTAGTTGCCTGGCACGCTACACATCGTTTCCGGGGAGGGCAGAAGACTTGTATTCAGTAAGAAAGTTGTGGTTGGTAGATTAAGGTCGCACGCACAAAAATAAACGAATCGTCTAACCTGAGTAAATTTTTCGTTTGCCACATAATTCGTGTTTTCAAGATTACATTCGATAATAAAAAGAACTGTTGAATTTATTTTGCTCTTCAATAATCCGAATACGACTTAACGTAAGTATTGACTTTGAATTTGTTAATTTAGTGACGCTATCTAACCTTGAAAATTAATTATCTAGTGAGGCAGGTTGTCTCAAATTAGCGGGGGCCTCTGGTCACATGTGACAACCAGCCCCCACACTAGACGATTAGCTTTGCACATCATTCTACGTAGGTATATGTATACAACGCATCTTTTTAATATTTTCAGGTTACATAAGCATGGTTCGAAATTTCAAAAGGAAGACTGAGAAGGGCAAAGCACCGCCTGGCGTACTTTTAAGAGCTGCTAGGTTAGTGAGATTAGGATACTCAATAAGAAAAGTGGCAGCTGACTTCAATGTAGATTACCGTACTTTAGCAAGATACTGTAAGAAAATTCCAAAGTCTGAATTACTTGATGATCGAGTTATTGCGCCGTCAATTTCAGTTGGCTACATCAAAAATCATTTAGTAATTGAGCCTGAACTTGAAAATCATCTAGTGGAATATGTACTCAAAGCATCTGAAATTTATTTTGGATTATCGCCCAAGGAAGTACGTGGACTGTCATATGAATTTGTTAATGCTATTTCCTTGAAAATTCCGGAAAATTGGAAGCTCCATAAAATAGCTGGTCCTGACTGGTTTAGTGCGTTTCTGAAACGTCACCCTGTACTGCCTATTAGCAAACCGGAAGCAACTAGTTTAACAAGAGCCAGTAGTTTCAATAAAACGGACGTCAACGCATTTTTTTATAATTTACCTTCAGTTATGGAAAAATATAAATTTGAGCCTCACGAAATCTGGAACCTGACGAACCTGGGTTCGATAGTTTCATCAGAAAGAGGAACTCTTGTTACTTTAGCAAGTGCAGCATCAGCTGTTGGAAATTCCATACCCCCTTTTTTCATTTTTCCACGGGTACGTTTCAAACCACATTTTTTAAATTCGGCTCCTCCTGGCTCACAAGGTTCAGCAAACCCATCAGGTTGGATGAAAGAGTCACATTTCTTGGAGTTTCTTATATTTTTTGACCTTCATGTGAAGAGTACTGTGGAAAGACCGTGCCTGCTTTTACTAGATAACCATGGATCACATCTGAGTAAGACCATGACTATATACGACATACCTTCGGTGGTCTTTATTGCATACCCCCTCGCATTTACTCCCAAAAATATACAGTCTGGATTTCGGGTGTCGGGTGTGTTTCCTCACAACAGAGATATTTTCACGGATGATGACTTTCTTGCGAGCTCTGTCACTGATAGGCCAGATCCGGGTATCTTGAACGAAGCAATAACTGGACCAAACCCGGAAACCTTAAACGAAAAGGAAGTTGGGCCAAATCTAACCATCTTGAACGAACATGAAACTGTAAGTCTGATAAATATTAACACGCAGGAGGCAATAGATAATATATGAGAGGGCAAAACAGCTAATCAAACTAGTTTTGATGATCCCTGCTGTACTAGTTTAGTAAGGCTGCATGCGGCAAATATAGTATTTCCAGAAAGTTTAAGACCTTATCCAAAGGCATCGGTAAGAAAAATGAATCGAGTTTCCCGTCGTAAACGAGGGACTGCAATACTCACTGACACTCCAGTAAAAGACAAATTAGAGAAAGAGAAAAATAAATGCTCGAACAAGAAAAAAAGGAACAGGGAAACAGTGAAAAGGGATGTTTTGATTCAGAAAAAGTCCTGTTCAGATAATGAAACTGATGGAGAAGAATGTTTTTGCTTGATTTGTCTTGAACCATTTTCTAACAGCGCGTCAAATGAAGAATGGGTGAAATGCTCATCGTGTAATGGTTGGTCTCATGATGCGTGCACTGATGAACGCGAACTTGACATATATCATAACTGCGATAGTGACTTATTGTAAAAAAAAAACTCTTCTACTTTTTTGGTATTTAGATAACAAATCTTTATGTCTTATGTCTTATTTGTAATAATAAATATGTTTAAAAGTATGATATAAATTATTAATGATCTAAAATACACGTGACAACCAACCCCAAGCAATGTGACATCCAGCCCCAGCAAGGGGCAAGTTGTCACATTTGTTTCTGTATTTTGAAACATTTTAATTTAATATTGTGAATTATTTTACAGCCTTATCGATTTTACATAGTGTTCCCAAAGGATAAACCATATTAGTTATGCACCAAATATGGGCATATAACGCTTCAGATCGAATAAAAAAAAGAATTACTGAAAATTGTGACAACTAGCCCCGGTCTCCCCTACTTTCGTAAACTTAGGAGCGAAAAAGCAATGTAAAATAACAGTAGATTTGCGTAAGAAATCCGCCATTTTGATTTTACAAAATGTTAATACACACAGTATCTCTCGCACTGCTAGGACGAATCTAACAGTGTACCTGATATGTCAAAAGCCATCAAGTCGTTTGGAATGTGGCTCGTAAGATAAAATTTCTTGTTTACATGTATAGATACCCAAATGCGTCAAACATACAGATTTTTTAAAGTGAGGCACTTATCTATTATTATTCTACTTGGATTGAAATAGTTTTTACAATAAAATGAATAACAAAATACAACCTAATTTTTCTTACCGCCCTAGAAAGTTGAGGGATGGAAGAGATACTTTACAAAAAACATGAATTTAAGATTTCTAATTTAAAAAAAGTGACACAACCATTGCTAAAACTAATCATTTAGCTCCTCTCAGAACGAAAATCACTGCCCACAACCTAATGGTTTAATTTTAATTGCGATTGCAAGTTCATTACCCCGTTTTTTTATATTTCATAAAATTGCAAATATACTAAGTGACATATAAATCCGAACACCCAGTTTAAATGGTTTTATTTTAATAAAAGTTGGTGAATGTATTTATCTTACTGTAAATAACAAGTGAAAAAATTTTCAGCCTTATCAGTTGGACATTCCGGTTTTTATATTGCTTTTTTTTAATTCACTAACGCTCTAAAAATGAAAATTTCAGCCGCAGTAAAGAATCAACGTTGGCGGATTTTGGTTCTTGACATCCTTTACGATCGGTTACGATGCCTAGAGTACGGAGACCTGTACGATTTCGTCAACTTAGTGAGTTTGATAGGGGCCGTATAGTGGGACTTCGGGAAGCTGGACTTTCTTTTCGGGCAATTGCAGTTAGAGTGCAAAGAAGTGTAGACACTGTGGTTAGGTGTTGTCAGGCATGGCTTCGAGAAGGCCGTACGCAAAGAGCAAGGGGCACTGGACGCCGCCGTAGAACAACAGACCGTGAAGATCGCCGCCTAAGATTATTGGCCTTAAGGGACCGTTTTTCCACTACCAGGTCCATTGCAAATGAATGGTTTGCAGAACACGGAAGACCTATTGGCATGCGAAGTGTTTACCGACGAATGAGAAGTTTTGGTTTGTTTTCAAACCGGCCACACTGGGTCCTCCCTTTAACTCGAGAACACCGACGTAATCGCCTTGAATGGTGCAGACAACGGTCACTCTGGGATCAGGAATGGAACAGTATTGTCTTTAGTGACGAGTCTCGATTTTGTTTAAGCATGCACGATGGTCGTACCAGGGTTAGAAGGCGACGTGGTGAAAGGAAGAATCCACAGTTTTTTGTTGAAAGACATGTTCATCACACTGTTGGAGTTATGGTTTGGGGTGCTATAGCTTATGGTTCCAGGTCACCTATAATCTTCATCAGGGGTAACATGAACGCGCACATCCACAAAGTTCTAGAACCCCATATTTTACCCTATCTTGACACCCTGGCAGATTCAACTTTCCAACAAGATAATGCCCGACCACATGTTGCAAGAGTCACAATAGACTTCTTTCAACATAATGATGTCACATTGTTACCATGGCCACCAAGATCTCCCGACTTATCCCCAATGGAGCACGTGTGGGATATGATGGGTAGGAGATTGCTCAATTTGCAACGTCCTCCTCAGACTCTAGAAGCACTTCGAGAGGAGTTGGTGGTTGCCTGGAATGAGATACCACAGGAGGACATTGACCACCAGATCAGAAGCATGCCTAGGCGCGTTGGAGAATGCGTAGCACATCAGGGTGCATCCACACATTATTAAAGGTCAAAGGGCTTTAAAGCAGTGCAATCATTTTGAAATTTTTATCATTTACTTATTATGTTTCATTAAGTACTTATACAAAATTTTATTAAAATAAAACCATTTAAACTGGGTGTTCGGATTTATATGTCACTTAGTATATCTCCTGAACTATATAATTTCGGACTACACATATAGGGGTTCATTCGATAGGTTTTGAGATCCTCTATCACCTGACTTCCATTGATCCACTACTAACTTTACACCCTGTATTTGAGTACCCAAACGGAAGAGAGTAGCATAGCATATCGTGCGTCACTGTTGTGGCGGTATGTTTTTGTGTGAATCTCACCCTGCTCAGTGGCGTAAGATACATAATAATACTCTCTTCCGTTTTGGTATCAGTTTATAGCGAGTAAGAAAGCATAGTTACCGTTTTCTAAAGTTCCCTTTACTTTTGGACAGTCCATGGTGACGTTTGAGCCGGTCGGTGTTGCTGGCCAGCACATCCACTTGTCGCATACTTCTGGACACCATCCTAAGACAAAGGAGACATGATCGTGAGAAAATTCTAAACTGTCGGAATCTGCGTACTTTATTTAACCAGGAACGAATTTTGTTGGTTCCTGGTCTACAATTTTCAAAGAAACACTTTCTATGTCAAATCTGAGGCTAAGGAACAGGCTCCGGGTATGGGATCACTGCTAAAAATCTGGCTAAGTTAATCACTATAATGTGAAATTATGCTGTTCTCATTCCGTACATTTAAGCTTAGTGGTATCAGATCTTGATTTTAGTTGCCTGAAACTCAGTTAGTTACGCTGGCCTAAATTTTATATTGCCCGAGTTACCAACTTTAAAACCACAAAATCGATTCAATGCAAGCGAACTGGTACATGAGACAGATTACGTCTCCGTTGTTAAATATTTACTTTTTTTCAAGCCTCTTTCCGTCTTCTCGTTCCAAACTTCCTCTTTTTCAGATGGCATCAGTTTATAACTGGAGGTTTTCTGGGATGTACAAGGGACAGGAAACTAATTTGACCTATATCTTAAATGCCTAAAGTGAAGGGGAAGAATTTAATTATGAATGTATAGACCGTTCTCTTTATACAAGTTGTGTGGCATTTGAAGAGGCAGTTCAATTGTTTTGAAGAAGAGCGGGTGGCTTAGGGCCTCATTTGTAGGATTGATTGCTGTTTGAGGAATGATCTCCCCTTGAATTTTGAACAACCATTAAGTAACGTTTCCTAAGGAACGTTCAAGCGAGGATTTATCATTTTTTTAAATTTTCAAAATTTATATGATTCTCCATACACATATCCAAGATTTCCAAAACCATCAAAATTTTCAGACTAATTGGGATATTGAAGGTTGCAAAGATTTCGAAATTACTTTGAAAACTCCGAAAAATTTCAATATTATGAAAATTAACAGAGTGTTGAAAATCCTGAAATATTTGAACAGTTTGAAAATTTCAAAAAATTTGAAAATCATCGAAATTTTGTAAATATTGAAACTTGGGAATTTTAAAAACTTTTTAAAGATTTTAAAAATTTTAAATTTTGATCATTTTAAAAACTGGATACTTCAAAAATCTTGAAGTTTCAAAACATTCGAAAATTTGGAGCATCCTAGATTCAAGATAGAAGCTGGGACTTCTGGGGCCCCCTGGCGGTTCCAATGTCGAAATGACATCGGATTGGAATCTACGCACAATGCTTACCCTGGAAACAACTTTTCATCCAGTCTGCATGTATGCATGATTGCTATTGGGGCCTAAAACAACATAGATTACTTAGAATTATTTTTTGAGCTTTATTTTTGGTTCTCTAAAGAAATCTGAAAATTTCTAAATCATTGCCTCATACAGCCTTAACTTAGTGTGAGCTGCTTTATATAGTCTGTCGAGGTCTCTCGTTCTCTTAAAATCTAGACGTCACTGGTGCATGTACATATTAAGAATAAACTCAAATAATAATTAAAACAACGTGTGTTTATTAATATGCTGATAACAAGCATATAAGACATGGTGTCAGGTTTGAATGTACTACTACATCAGAGTCGTAATACGAGGGATGACTTTTAAGTTTTGCATATGGAAATAAAACAACACGGTAGGTAGTTTTAAATGACTTTATTGTTTTTAGAAGTATTCTCCACGAAGATTAATACACATCTGCATGCGGTCGAACCAATTTTCGAAGCACTTTTGCACTCGTTTGCTGGCAGACCCAAAACGGCATTTTCTGCTTCTTCTGGTGACTGGAACCTTTGACTACGCAGTCTGTTTTTAATTGTTGGGAAAGTAAGGAAATCGTTAGGACTTAGATCGGGACTATATGGAGGATGATCCAATAATTCTACGTTTTCTTCCGTTAAATACTGCCTTGTTTTTTGGGCTGTGTGCGAGCTTACATTGTCTTGGTGGAGGATGATTCTTCTTTCGGGGTTGATTTTTCGAAGGTTGGTGATGACTTTTGCCAAACAAATGGTGGTATACCAATCCGCAGTAACAGTTATTTGCTCATTAAGAGGAATTGTTGCAATATGACCCGCTTTTGACACAAATGTCGCGACCATCTTTTTCGAAACACTTCGAGAACGGATGACTTTTGTTGGCTTTTCTTCACCTTGGAACACCCAAACAGCCGACTGTCGTTTATTTTCTGGTTCATAATAGTAAATCCACGATTCATCACTACTAAGAATCCTGTACACATTTTTTGAGTTTCCGGAATTGAAACGGTCAAGAGTTTTTTGGCACCAATTAACCCTTGCTACTTTCTGTTCTTCAGTCAACCGGTGGGGTATCCAACGAGAAACTAATTTTCTTACTCCTAATTCTTCATGTAAATTTTTTTGAATTGAGGTCTTTGAGATCTTCAAGGACGCCTCAATCTCGCGATATGTCACATGTCTGTCTTCAATGATGAGTTTGCGCACAGCATCGACGTTTTCCTGGGTGACTGCCGTTTTTGGTGCACCCACCCTGGGATCGTCGCTAAGACTCACCCCCAATTCTTCATATCAACGGGAAATTGTTGACTGATGTTGCGTTTCGTTGCCGAAAACAGACAGTAACTCAGCAAGGCATTCTTGTTGCGATAATTGTCTCTGAAAGTTGTAATAAATTATGGCGGTTGGGTTCCATTTTTCTAATGACTTGGTGACACTTAAAAATTCACTGTAGTGAGAACACTGCACGAATTGTTGTGAAACTTTGAATTTAAGTTTACTAAAGAGTGAGGTTAAGATTCAGTACTGACGTTCGATCCGCGCGGCCTACTATGTTTCTATATGCAAAACTTAACAGACATCCCTCGTAGCAGTAAGTAAAAATCGTAAAGAGGAGAATTGACAGAAGAGTTCGAGATTAATACAGGACTCAGATAGGGGGACCCATTATCTACACTTTTATTTAATAAGATCCTAGAAAGAATCGTTATTGAAAGTCAGCTGGATAGATCAGGAAGTATATTATTTAAAAGTCACCAAGTAACTGCCTATGTTGATGATGTCGCCAGCCTGTCAGGCTGAAACGAGTCTAGAAATAACGGTAAGCACAGGAAAAAAGATTTTTGAGGAGGTGGATGAGTTTGTCTATTTAGGATCTCTAATTAGTAATAAAATAAATGAGGAAACAGAAGTAAACTACAGCATGGGTAAGGCCAATAAATGTGCGGGAATGCTTAACAGAAATATTAAGTCAAGAAATGTATCTAGAGTCTCCAAAATAAGGCTATACAATAGGATCATCAAGCCAACCCTTTTGTATAGAGTAGAAACCTGGGTAATTAATAAAAAACTTGAACAAGCATTACTTAGGTGGGAGCTGCAAAGACCATTGAAAGCTAGAGAAATTAAAAAAGTACAAAGAGTCCTCCTTGCTTAAATTTTGTCGAAGTACCCAACAAAAGGCGGAAGCTTTAATTTTCACCTAACTGGTCTAGACGACAATGACCACGTCTCAAGTTATATATATATATATATATAAATCGTAAAGATAACTTAACCTAAGAAGTAAGAAGATAACCTAAAAATTAAAATGGAGGACTGTTCAAGCCACCAAAAAGGTTAATATTTGACAAGAATATCCACGTGAACTTAGATAACTTCCTAAGAGGTCTTGACATCTATTTAAAAGCAACAGGTTTAGATGGCAAGGATGGAGAAACAAAAGTAGCAATATTGTTGAACCATGCCGGCGAGGAAGCTCATTAGAAGTTTATGACCTTTAAACTTAGTGATGCGGATAAGAAAGATTTCGAAAAAGTTGTGGGAGCATTCCAAAATCACTGCAAGCTGTTGAGGAATGAAACATATGACAGGTACAAGTTTTTCACCGAAGTGCAACAGGAGGCTGAAAGCGTCGATCACTACATTACAGAAATAAAAACTCACGCTTCACCATGTAATTTTGGGGACCTGGAAGATTCACTAGTTCGTGACAAGATAGTAAGTGGCATCAGAGACTTGTGTCTCCATTAGAGGCTGCTAAGGCAATCAAATCTGTCTTTGAAAATAGCAGAAGAATATTGCAGGGCTGCAGAAAGGAATTAGATCAGAAATGATAAGGAAGTAGAATCCGCCAGGGACTGGGAATTTGAAATACAAACATCTAGTCCTCATTACCCTAAGTCGAATGGTCTTGCAGACATGGCAGTAGGTATATGCAAGAAAATTTAAGAAAGAGTCAAGAATCAGAAACAGACATTTCTATAGCGCTATTAGAATATAGAAATACTCCGTTAGCAGGGTCCAATGTATCTCCAGCAGAAATGATTTAAAACAGACAACTGCGTAGAGTCTTGCCTGTATCAAATAATAACTTAGAACCAACTCTAAAGAATGATAGTCAGAGGCTTTCTGAAAAAAGATTTGAAAACAAAATTCATTATGACAAAACTGAGAAATATAGGACAGACTTCAAGGAAGTGTGTGTTATAATCAGGTCAGATCGAGAAAAATACTGGGTACCAGGGTAGACAGTAGGTAAATGTGATAGCCCTAGGTCTTATATGGTGCGTGACAACCTAGGAAGAGTTTTAAGGAGGAACTCTTCATTTTTACGACATTCTCCTAAGGAGTGTCCTCCAGTACAATCTCAAGAAGAATTTGATAATATTTGGTCTGAACCTTGCTCCGCAAGAGGAACAGAGTCACGAAGATTTCGAATCTAATGATTATAATGAGCCAACAACTGTTTCAACCTCGATTGTATCTAGTAACCAGAACTGTGACAATAAACCCTATACTTTAAGAACAAGATCTGGCAAAGTTGTGACAAAACCGGTCAGATATCGATAGTAGTTTAAGTATCCAATGTGAAGTAATATTTTAAGTTTCATGCATTAAAATGTAAATAAACAACATTGTAAAAAGGGGGAGATGTCTCATACAGCCTTAACTTGTGTGTGAGCTGTTTTATATACTTAGTTTGTTGAGGCGCCGCATGAGGTATCTCGCTCTCTTAAAATCTAGACGTCACTGGTGCATGTACATATTAAGAATAAACTCAAATAATAATTGAAACAA